TTTCAGTGGGATAAAGTTTGGGTTTTTTAAATATCATTTTTAGAATACTTTTTTGAAAAACATCTAAATTATAGATATGTGAGGAACATGCAGCTCCCCATGGTAATATACCATATGTGAGATGAGGCTCAATCAGTACATGGTATAATGTTCGAAGATATTTTTCTGTCGATATATTCCCAAGGTATTTAATTTTGTAGGATACAAATCTAACTTTCTTTAAAATATAATTGACATGCATGTCCCATCGTAAGTGAGGATCCAAGACCACTCCAAGGTATTTTATGTTGGGCACTCTATTAATTTGCATTTTTTGATCATTAATATTGAAGGAGAAATTTGTGTAATTTAAAAGACAGCATAAGATCCAAATGGTAAAAAATGTGTTTTAGAGTACGAGTAGTTAATGCTTAATTTTCTGTTAAACCACCGAATAATTTTGATAAAATCATTTTCAATTACATTTTTCAGATCAGACCAGTCAGTGCCTTCATATAATATTGCAGTATCATCTGCAAAACTAGTTATTTTGCCAACACAATTAATTTGGAAAATATCATTTAAATATATATTGAATAACAGCGGACCTAAGACAGTTCCTTGTGGGACACCACACTTAATATACATTTCTATACTAAATGATCCTGATATCTGCACAGATTGTGGGCGATTTGACAAATAATTTTCGATCAGTGAGTACGCATTTCCTCTGAAACCAATTCTTTCCAATGCTTCTAATAATAATTTGTGATTAACTGTGTCGAAAGCTTTCTTTAAATCAACAAAAATGCAGATTGAAGGGATTCTGTTATCAATATTTTGATGTATTTGATTTACAATTTTAGTTATTGCGTCCGATGTAGCCTTCCCTTCTGTAAATCCATATTGATTTTCACTTAAAATTTTGAATTTTGTGAGGTATCGAATCATTCTAGTAGATAAAACTTTTTCAAAAACCTTTGCTACACTGGATATTATTGATATTGGTCTATAGTTGTTAACATCTGTTTTTGTTCCTGATTTATGTATCGGTATTATATTACCTTTTTTTAAAATTGAGGGATATATGCCAGATTCAAAGCATTTGTTGATTAGGTAAGCGAGTGGTTCTGTTATGTCCTCGGCTATAATTTTCAAATGCTCGCTTTTAATACCATCGAACCCAGGACTTTTCCGATTTTTTAAGGACATAACAGTGGTGTATACTTCACATTGCTCGACTTTATCCAAAATAAATGAGTTCAAAGTTCTTTTTGGAGGCTGAGTATTTTGTACATTTTCTTGTATACTACTTGCTAAATTTTCGCCTGTCAGTAAAGAATTGTACAAATTCATCGCATATCTGTTGAGTATTTTTTAATACTGTTCCCGATGTTGTATTTAACTCAGTGACACACTATTTAACTTTTGTTTTCCCAGTAATCTCATCAATAGTTTTCCAAAGCCGCTTAGGATCATTTAAGTTATTATTCAATTTATTTAGGTGATGTTTATTTACCATGTTGTGATGTTTTAGACAGTTATTTGATTGTGAAGTCTAAAGTAGCAGTATGTCTTTATCTGTCTTTTTTGCGGTTACGTCATCAATGCCATACGAAATAAGTTAGCAGATCGACTAACAATGTCGTGGGCGTAGATTATTTTTCCTAAGAAGCTGCATAAACATTCATCACGTCTGCTACTTGTTCTTGCACACATGAAGTGAGAAATAAAGGCGCAAGCCATCCGAGGAAGCCCGCAGGGAGGTGTACTGTCCCCGCTACTGTAGAATCTGGTAGTGAATGTCAATAAGGGACCTCGACCAATACGGAGACAGAACGCTAGGACATACGGATGACGTTATCCTATCGCAAGGCAAATTCAACACCACGGTCAGAGACAAATTGCAAGCGTTTCTGAACGTGGTCACAAAATGACCGTCAAACAAAGGTTTAAATGTAAGTCTCTCAAAAACATCCAGAGTGTCCCCGGGGGTTGTTTTGTATAGTATATTCACTATATGTTCTAAATCTAAAGGGTGCCAATCTTGATGCAAGGTATTTTACTTTTGCTGACGACGCAATTCTTCTCTATGAAGGAAATCATGAGCAGGCTCTGCGTGACGAAGCTAGGTAGTTTAGACCTTGCTCTTTACTGTAAATGACTGTGTTCAAATAAACTAAAGATCAACATCGATAAAACAAAATATCTAATTTTTAAACGGAAGAATAAAATAGTTGTAAACTTTTGTATAAGAATAAACACTGTGATAGTAGAAAAAGTATCAAGCATCAAATACCTGGGTTCGATTATCGATGAGAATTTGAATTGGTCTAGTCACATAATTTTTTTTCATAAAAGAACGTCGATGATAGCTGCCTTGTACCGAAGCAGAGACAACTCAACTACAAAAACTAAAAAAAATATTTATAATGCATTTTTTTGGCACACTTTAGGTACGAGTTACCTATTTGGGGAATGTGTGGTAAAACAGCACAAGTTTCGCAAAATATTAAGTTTTTTTTTTCATTTATGACCGACTCGCCAACACGGATAATATATACACAGAACTGATACAGTAAAAACTTATAATAGCCTGCCAAGAAGTGTAAGAAATGTACATGTATTCTTAAATTATGTAGAGACACTCAAATGTCACTTGAATTGTTGAATTTATTGTGACTAAAATTCGCACTTCAAATATTGTTGTTCTCCTGTTTCTCACGCGGACTACATAACTTTATTTTCTATAAAATATGTAAATTTGACTATTAAATAAAGGCTTTTTTAACTGCTTGGAGTATCAAATTTTTGCAGTGGGACAGATCCTAAGACTCCCGAAAATACACTAAACACACGTAGGAGTGTTTTCCCAGATTTGAATTTCCTATATTCTAGATAAAATGCATAAAGTAGTTAGTACCGTTAGGCAACCAGTACTACAGCAACGTGTTTTGAAATCGTCACTAGCGTGCATCCAGTAGCGACTTTTTATAACTAGCCGCTAATAGACTTTCACCTATAGTCCAGTGAATTATAGTTATTTTAGTCCAGTTACGATTATATGTACGGCAAGATTTTCATTTTCATCTCTCGTTATTGCAAGCTACAAGCAAATGATTCTTAAAAGCTTCAGGTAATTTTCGGCGCTATGTTTGTACAAAGGTAACCGTAAAAAAATCGAGAGATGTCACCAATCTTCTAGGTCGCAAATGTGTCCTAACGTTGATCAACTTGTTAGACCTTAAGATATACGCGCATGAAGTGTATTTCGTCATTCAAGAAACTATCCCAATGATGATTAAAATGGCATCATGTATGAGAATGTAGTTATTTGCTCATATAAACAGCTAGCACAAGCACTGCATAATGCCCTTGAAATTTGTGGTAACTGTTGTTATGACGTATTTTTGAGTTTCTCTTTTTTAAATTACATATATTTTATACGTACGACGTAATTGTTACTTTAGAATCAATTTTCCTGATTCAAAACGATCGGGTCTGCGGACAGAGAATTAATTATCTCATTCCGTCGTTCACTCAAAGTTATCTGAAATGACAAATTATTAAAATGTTGCCAAACGTTGCTGCCATATACTGCTCCATTTCACTTTTATGTTCCTAGCTTTCCGATATCTAAGCTATAAGTATTGATTTTGCAGAACAAATGTGTGTAAAATAATAAAAAATGACTTTATTGGATACAAAAAATAAATATGTACATTTTAGCTATTCATAGTGTCATGTATTCTTGAGAATGTTCTTACGTAAAGTCTGGCAACTCTGTAACAAGTGACAATTGACAGTAAACGACAGAGAACCGCGTGTCGCTGGAACTGGCGTTATTCTTTCAATGCTCCTGCCATTTCCACAGATTGTGGGTTCCAAAACTATAAAAAAATAGGCCATTTTGTAAAGCTTCAAGCTAATGTGACCTTAATTCTTTAACATGCTTTGTATAGTACCGCCTGCGTAATACTACTGGTAACAGAATATATGGTTTTTCGAAGAAGTTAAAACTGGTTATTCATTATAAATAATAAACGTCATCTTCACGTCCAGCAAATAACGTATTATTGACGTCTGCCATATGACGTCATCGGCATGCGACATTGAGAGGTCATTTTAGTTTTACTTCAAATCGAAATTTCTCGTTATTTCATGGCCAGTTTTTAACGTCATTTTCACGTGCTTGATCTACGTGGGATAGCTGCAACGACATCTATGAGATACTATCCTTCTAACTAGACGTCTACTTATTGCGGAGAATAATACATGTCACAAATTCTAACGCCGTGGTATCTCATTTCATCTCAGATAATTTTTTGGACGCCGAAACTCAAACGTCTTTTTGATGTCTGAGGCATTAAGACTCTATTAGTGCATTAAGTGGAGGTCTTTAAGGTCTTCTGTGCTATTTGGAATAATTCTTCGTCATTTGAGATGCTGAAATTAAAAAAGGGCATTAAAAATCCTGAACTAACGCGTTGCGGGGTTGTAAAAGGATTTCTTTCCATAGTTGGGTCTTATCGGCAAATTGTTATACAGGATGCAAAATGGTCCAAATTACAGATGCCCATGAATTTTAAAAAATGTTAACTGATCCCGTTATCCCGATCGTCAATCTGATACCAGATTCAGAATCTACGTACCCAGGAAGTTTGGTGCAAGATGTTTTGAAAAGCTTATGAGAAACCTTAAAACAATATACAGGGTGTTAATAAAGTATGTAGACAAACTTAACCATCTAATCCTTGGTCAATTTGAGGACAAAGTTTCCATATGAACATGAGTCCGCATCGGTTTTGTTTTCAAGCTAGATTTTTTTGATGCACAGGTAATAATTGGGTCTGCCAATATTTAATGAATTTTAAAATTTTCATGTATTTGATATTTGATGACGAATTTAAATAGTTCACGGAAGTTTTGGATTAATTTATAACACAGTCGTCATGTAATTTTTTAACTTCTTTTGTGGAAAATCAAACAATATTTTATATATATAGTATATTTTTCATTCACTCGCGCAAAGTACAAAAAAAGTTATACAAATATAGAGAGCATTCTCTAAAGGAATTTTTGGATCGCAATTCTTAAACTTAACTACAATTTTACAAATATTTTGAGCAATATACAGACATAATCCTTAAACTATACGAAGGTATATACAATGATGAGCAAGAGCCTAGGGAACTACAAGCATACTGGCTATATCTAAAGCATAGCGAAGTGTCTTGCACTTTCCTCCACCCTTGGATGCGATGGGGAACTGAAACAGAAAGAATATTTAGTAGGTTATGGTCAGCAGGTCTTTGCAGGTGTTTCATTAAAGTACCATGACATAAACATTAGGAAACGCCTGGGAATTATCAAAAACTCTGAAAGATTTTATTTCTCAGCAGACAAAAAAGGCGAACAGAATTAATTGATTATGAAAAAAAACGTTTGAGTTAACGACTATTGCGCTTGGTGTAAAATAAATATTCGATTTGAAAGAACGTCATCTTTTTAACATGACTGTGATTACAAAAAATGATTTTGCACTTTATTATATACTAAGTGACATAGAAATCCGCACACCCAGTTTAAATGGTTGTATTTTAATAAAATTTTGTATAAGTACTTAATGAAGCATAATAAGTAAATGACAAAAATTTCAAAATGATTGCACTGCTTTAAAGCCCTTTGACCTTTAATAATGTGTGGATGCACCCTGATGTGCTACGCATTTTCCAACGCGCCTAGGCATGCTTCTGATCAGGTGGTCAATGTCCTCCTGTGGTATCTCATTCCAGGCAACCACCAACTCCTCTCGAAGTGCTTCTAGAGTCTGAGGAGGACGTTGCAAATTGAGCAATCTCCTACCCATCATATCCCACACGTGCTCAATTGGGGATAAGTCGGGAGATCTTGGTGGCCATGGTAACAATGTGAAATCATTATGTTGAAAGAAGTCTATTGTGACTCTTGCAACATGTGGTCGGGCATTATCTTGTTGGAAAGTTGGATCTGCCAGGGTGTCAAGATAGGGTAAAAGATGGGGTTCTAGAACTTCGTGGATATAACGCTGCGCGTGCATGTTACCTCTGATGAAGATTAAAGTTGACCTGGAACCATAAGCTATAGCACCCCAAACCATAACTCCAACAGTGTGATGAACATGTCTTTCAACAAGAAACTGTGGATTCCTCCTTTCACCACGTCGCCCTCTAACCCTGGCACGACCATCGTGCATGCCTAAACAAAATCGAGACTCGTCACTAAAGACAATACTGTTCCATTCCTGATCCCAGAGTGACCGTTGTCTGCACCACTCAAGGCGATTACGTCGGTGTTCTCGAGTTAAAGGGAGGACCCAGTGTGGCCGGTATGAAAACAAGCCAAAACTTCTCATTCGTCGGTAAACACTTCGCATGCCAATAGGTCTTCCGTGTTCTGCAAACCATTCATTTGCAATGGACCTGGTAGTGGAGAAACGGTCCCTTAAGGCCAATAATCTTAGGCGGCGATCTTCACGGTCTGTTGTTCTACGGCGGCGTCCAGTGCCCCTTGCTCTTTGTGTACGGCTTTCTCGAAGCCAGGCCTGACAACACCTAACCACAGTGTTTACACTTCTTTGCACTCTAACTGCAATTGCCCGAAAAGAAAGTCCAGCTTCCCGAAGTCCCACTATACGGCCCCTATCAAACTCACTAAGTTGACGAAATCGTAACCGATCGTAAAGGATGTCAAGAGCCAAAATCCGCCAACGTTGATTCTTTACTGCGGCTGAAATATTCATTTTTAGAGCGTTAGTGAATTAAAAAAAAGCAGTATAAAAACCGGAATGTCCAACTGATAAGGCTGAAAATTTTTTCACTTGTTATTTACAGTAAGATAAATACATTCACCAACTTTTATTAAAATAAAACCATTTAAACTGGGTGTTCGGATTTATATGTCACTTAGTATATATTTATCGAAATCTAGGTTTCCTTTCTGACTCACTGTCGATATCTCCATTTTAATCAATATTTAGGGCCGTAACGTCAGTCGTTCCTACAATTGTAGGACGCTCTTATGGCCTCCTGGATTATCATAGTTTTCTACTGTTCCGTGTCAGCGCTCTATTTTGAGGTTATGTCACAAATGTCTATTTGCATCAAATTGTTCATGATTTTGATTTGTACCATCGCTTTTTTTAACTTTCCTACAATTCAAAAAGAAAACATAACTTCACAATAGGAGAGCGCTGATGCTGACCCGGGACAGCAGAAATTTAGAACTACCTCAGCCTTTCTGAAGGAGAAAAAATACTATGAAAATCAAGTACGAATATAGGAACGACTGACGATATGGCCCTTAATGTTAACTTGAGAACGGTGTAGATATAAAAACATTTCTCGCAAGAAGGGTCTATTGCTAAAAACTTGAGAAATCGCCGCATACGTCTAATGAGAAGTTACATTCCTTCCCCTATGCAAACAATGATCATGAAGAAAGTCTAGGTAAATAATGCATGTATACTTCCATGTACATCTTTTTTGGCTTGGTGTGCAGAGAATTGTCACTGCTATTGAATACATTATCCATTTTTGAATATTTGTAACATTTATTGTTTACTACAGTCCAATATAGATTCTATTTGATAAAGAAAATTGTTGTTATTGATTGTATTTACCGATTTTATCATGCTGATAGCTTGAAAATCCTGTGTTACACGATAAATTGGAATATTATTAAACTGTTTGTAAAACGAATGATGTGTCCCCGTACGTAGTCTTCTATCTTTGTTGGACTCTGTCATTAGTAGCATCTTTCCTAGGCGCCGTTCTGTGATCTAGACATTTCGAGTGGTTTATTTGGACAGAGTTGCCGAACGTTCAGAAAATTCGCAAATATGCTGTACTTCGAAGTCTCCTCAAATTAAATGTGGTAATGTGTCATCTCTATGCACCACGGAAAATAAGAGTGCACGGCCATTGGCAGCATACTTCCCTACCGAGGTACTATTATTTGAGTAATAACTGGTGACGTAGCATAATTTTTAGTTAAAGCAAGTGAATTAAGAACATCCGTCTTCAAAAAAGGAGATAATTTTAAGAAATCAATAAAGATGAATGATGATTTCAAATCAACATCAAAATAGCATTATTATAAGAACAAGAAACGGCACCAAAGATCATCTGTTATCTATTACATCATGTACAACATTCCCAACAATCGTTAGGTACGTAAAACGCATTCACTGAGAATCTAGGTTCCTTTCCTGACCCACTGTCGATGTCTCCATTTTGGGTCGACGTAATCTTAACATGCGATCTGCATACAGAAACGGCAATTAAAAATACGCTCATCGATTTCTTTCCGCATTTGTGTTACGCTAATGATCTCGAATTTTATTCTGTGTTATGTCAAAAGTATCAGAATGGACGGGTTATGCAAAATAACGTATGTATGGTGCTTGTACTAGATTCTAGAATCTCGGGTCTCGAGAGGATGTGAGTGTTAGTCCTGTGAACGTAGAAGCCACCTCGTTCTCGTCCTGAATTTAGGCAAAACGTGTATTGTATTGAATATAGAATGTTTCAAAGGGCTGAGCTACAGAGGTAACTGCGGCCCAAGTGGATCTATTGTGACAAATAGGAAGTATTTATAAGGTGTATAATACCTATAACTACCAAGCGACAACTACAATTTGTCACAGAAATAGTTGCCTTAAGCGTCGAGAAATATTTGTTGTATTCAACAAGTTATCGGATATCAAATTGAAAAAGTCCAAAAGAAGTCCGGAGTTGATAACACTTTTAAGCGATGGATCACTTTAAATAAATGATTTGTGTTGAAATACCCCCGCCAACCGCATCTCTTCTTCTCAATGCGAAAAATTGTGAAATAGTTTCTAATCACCGTTCGTTTTTCCTCCTCTTAATTATGCGTTTCCTCCTTAATATAACTGTGCTATATCAGGCACAACTAATTAATAATATGCATCTATTTCAACGTGAGCTCGATGTGAAAGTGAAATTTGTTATTGCAGATTTGTAGGTGTGATGAGTGCGTGAATTAAGGAAATATCGCATGATATCTGTTACGTAAATCCTAAATAGGAAAGGAGTTCCTTGCAATCTTGCAGTTTATTTGCAAGTCAAATTGGCTGCATTACCTGGCTCATCGGCCTAGCCTACTTCCAGTGTCTCGATATCTTTTCGAGAAACTCCAACATGTTGGCGATTGATACTTAGTTATACAAGAATATTTACACACGTTTCCTCCTATTTTCAATATGTAATTAGATCGCTATTGAAACTGTATAAACAGGATTTCCGCAAATTTGGGACTTCATATCTTCAAAAGCTAAGCGACTTTTCCTAAGTAGCATATACTCCAAAGTAACCGAGATGTTAATGATCTATCAAATCAAAACCGCTCCTGTCTCTCAATCAGATCAAATGTGAGTAGGTAAACAAAACATTTATTCACCAATCGGTTCGATAGTTACAAAAAAGAATTTCCGTACAGCAATGTTGAATGATTTTAGCTTATGATGAGTGTCTTCAAAATGCTACCGAGGCTTCACGAGTGTATGAAGTCCGCTTTCCTAGACGTTATCCTTTAAGGTCGCGTAAATTCATTTCCTTGGGCAAGGGGTTAGGGATACTGGTCGTTTGCAGTAATATCAAAATGGGCACCGTGAGTGACCTAGCAACCCCCGAATTGCGCCGTACGTAAGGGCCGGTATACAAAATCTATAGATACGAGGGGTGAAGTAAAAAATGTCGACCATGAATTAAGTTAGAAAGATGAGGGTCTGCGCATGCGTGGCTGTGAACAACTCTAATCTTGTCAGTTTCGACGCGTTGCAAGCAGAAATATTGTATGATTGACAAACTGCTCATGCTTTACTTTTTGCACAGATTTAGTTCAGCCCAGGTATTTCTTGGTTTATATAAAACCACATTACCTAATGAGATGTGACTTCGCTGTTGCGCGCAGGTACAACAGTAGTGTGGAACTAGCTGCATTGGACTACTTGTATGGTTTACCACCAGCTGTGATGGATGTCGTGATGGTCGTCGTGGTGGAGCTCGTGATGATCGTGGTGGATGATGTGGGGCTCTTCGTGGACGTACACCTTCTTGATCACAGGCACCGGCACGTGTACGGTCTTCACGTGGTGATGGTGTACGTTGTGCGTGTGCACGTAGTGCGGAACGATGATCTTCACGTGCTTACTACAAACAAATTGAAATAGAACTAAGATTGAATATATAATAATACTAATAACGATAATAATAATAATAATAATAATAATAATAATAATAATAATAATAATAATAATAATAATAATAATACAGTATCAATCTAATAAGCAAACAAAAATAATGAGAAAGTTGCAATATACAGGGAGCTAGAATTTAAAATTAAAAGCCAGTGGAAATTGAAATGCGTGGAGACAATACCAATAATCTATTACAGGGTGGCCCATCTATGTGTGGATGAAATATTACTCATAAACAAATACATTTAGGGAAAATCTATTTATGTCATGTTGTACATGACATTTGAAAGCACATTTATAAAATATTGGCAATTATACAGGGTGTCGACCTACATATCAAAGTTGTGATTTTTTAAATGGAATGCCTCAAATTTTATTGCATATTTGGTCAATTCAAAAGAAGAAGATTGATATGAGATACTATGGGGTTTTGGTAATTAGCAACTGAGATGTGAGGTGTTTTGTCCGGAAAAACCGTCCACTTCGGCAACATCTCATTCCGCCATTTTGAAATTTGGAGTGCTGAATTTTGTATCAAAAAAACTTCCGCATCTCAGCTTTTTTTTACTTTTTCGAATTTTCATTTTTGCTCATTCAGGGTGGTCAAAAACGCGAATTGTAGTTTTTCTCAAAAATTGCAAATGCATCACCCTGTATATTTGTGCAAGTTTGGATTCAATCTGTTACAAGCTTATTTTGGTATAAGGTTTGATCCAGATAAAATCACTAGGTTTTGAGTTATTAAGCTACACACCAAAATTAAGGGAAAAAATCGCATCAACCAAGGAAACAAAGACAAACAGTGGGCTAGTTCCATATTGCCACTAATAGTACAGATTTGACGTAAAAACTAATAACAATCAGAACAGCATAAATCAGCTTCAAGCGTAATAGAGGAAAACAGCTATTACAACAACATAAACAAACAACTATCACTACTCACAACCTAATCTACAAAAACTGCTCGAAAATATCTCCTAAATGTTGAATACACAGCCGTAGTCTTTGGATAAATGACCGTTGCACATCCCTCAGCATGTGTTCCCTTACGTTCAGAAAAGCATCCTTAGTCCTTTAATTCATATTTTCCAGGGTTATGCATTTAAAATTTTTGACAAAAAGTACAATTCGTGTTTTTGATCACCCTGAATAAGCAAAAATTAATATTCGAAAAAGTAACAAATCAGATAAAAGCTAACATGTGTAAGTTTTTTTGATACAAAATTTGGCACTCCAAATTTCAAAATGGCGGACTGAGGGGTTGCCGAAGTGTTTTTTTTATACAAAACACCTTATACCTCAGTAGCTAATTATCAAAACCACATAGTACGTTACATCAATTTTCTTCTTTTGAATTGGTTTATCGAAATATGCTATAAAATTTGAGGCATTCTATTTGAAAAATCCAACTTGTAGGTAGAAATTGGGACACCCTGTATAATGGCCAATATTTTAGTAGTGTGTCCTCAAATGTCATGTATAACATCCCAAAAATAGATTTTGCCAAAATGAATTTTTTTATGAGTAATACTCCCTCCACACATGAATGGGCCACCCTATATAGTTCATCTGATTTATTCAACAAAGAAAAAAGAGATAGTCAGCATTGACATCACACACACCACTAATAGTATTAAAATTGTATTGCTCTAACACTCTAACTGATCAAACCTATAGCACAGATGAGCCTCATAAATTCCCGTTGCATGGTTTTAACCATCACATTTGAAACGTACATTTGTTTTTTCCTGATGACTAAAGCAAGTACAAATAATAATTGTTTCCTTGAAGGGAAGCATCTAGGAGTGTCTTTTGTTCTTCTAGCAAATGCTGATATGGATGAATACCAGAAGCTGCCAGGTCGAATTCGGAATTATACTGCCAGGAAAGTATCAAATTAAGATGAATATTTTTATTTTCAATATTGTAAGAAATAATCCTTCAATTAGTATGTTGTTGAGCCCAGCTCCACTGGACTCGATTCTGTCTTGCATCAGATATTAATTTAAATTCATTAAAATGTCCATTGCCAAAGAAGCTATTGTATTACTTTGAATATTGCATTTGTCTCACTTCCACGTGGGCGGAGCTGCGTGGTTAGGTACTTTATAAGTTGCGCTAACGTTACTCTATAAGTTGCTTATGGATAGCTCCATCAACGCTTTTACATTCGCGAAAACTATTCAATTAACTCTAATTGTTCAACATTGCCGTTAAGGTGATCAATAGGGCCATATGTCCCTCCACTGGTTTACACTTGCGGAATAAAATACTCTTAGTAGAGTACCTGCTTTTTCGACAACGAGTGGCGATCGTGTTTCTTACTACTCAAAACATCCCTACATAGAAACTCTTTTCCCTGACCGCTCTAAGCAGCTGGTAACTCTGCTTCAAACAGTTTGACTGCGCCTGTAAGCCTAACCTCTCCCCTCCGAATTTTGCTATAAGGGCTCCCATGGACAAGAGCCCAGCATTCGATTGAAACAAATTTGATATGTTATCATCAATCCTAGTCGCATTTCCAGGTACCTAAATCTCTAAAATCTATGTCACTGTATATATATATATATATAACTTGAGACGTGGTCATTGTCGTCTAGACCAGTTAGGTGAAAAATTAAAGCTTCCGCCTTTTGTTGGGTACTTCGACAAAATTTAAGCAAAGAGGACTTTTTATACTTTTTTAATTCTCTCTAGCTTTCAATGGACTTTGCCATCATCATCAGGAGCTGCAATTACAATGATAACAGTAGCAACAATAGTGTAAAATGAATTTAAATTGACTCAACTTACAGTAGTATGTGAGGATGTTGCTAATTGTTGTTTACGTATAGGATGAGGGAAACGTCCAGTAACATGGTGAGAGCTGGATAGATGGTACAATGGTCAAAATTATATAAAATATGACAAGAACAAGTTAAAAACAGATTAAAAATTATTTAAAAACATTAAAGCATTGCATCGTGAAGCCACTTGATGATTGCACAAAATGGTGGTCATGGAATAATGAGTGAGATGAATCCTTTGACAGAAGGCCGAAGGTTGTCAATGTCTGTGTAGAAGGATGGAACGAATTGTGGACGTGTGCCAACGTTGCCAAATCACTTCAGATGATGTGATTTTCAGAATGTTATGTAAGAAATTGTTAAACCGACCAGAGGCAGTTGAATAAACTATATTTTAATTAATGGGAAATTAAATTAACAATTATTATTAAATCGTGAGAAGAGAATTATTAGAATTTGAGTGGAATGAAATTTACTGGTGGAATCGACCAAGATTCAGATTCTATTTATGGTTGTGAAGAGTCAAAATTTGGGGAGATATGCAAGTTATCGTTATATTATAATAAACGTTTGGAAAGATGTTTTTCTTTATCAAGAACTTTGATCCTTGTGTAATTCATAGAATGCCCTGTTGTGTTAACATGAGATGCTAGAGCGCATCTTTCAGGATGAAGCCTAGAATCACTTTTGTGTGATGTAATCCTTCCTTTAAGAGATCTGGAGGTCTGACCTATGTATATTTGGGTTGCAGTTGTGTTGCAATTGATGGAGTAGACTGTGTAGACAAAGTCCCGCTGCTTGGCTTAACCAACACTCACTCTATCTAATCTAATCTAATAATTCTCTTCTCACGATTTAATAATAATTGTTAATTTAATTTCCCATTAATTAAAATATAGTTTATTCAACTGCCTCTGGTCGGCTTAACAATTTCTTACATAACATTCTGAAAATCGCATCATCTGAAGTGATTTGGCAACGTTGGCACACGCCCACAATTCGTTCCATCTTTCTACACAGACATTGACAACCTTCGGCCTTCTGTCAAAGGGTTCATCTCACTCATTATTCCATGACCACCATTTTGTGCAATCATCAAGTGGCTTCACGATGTAATGCTTTAATGTTTTTAAATAATTTTTAATCTGTTTTTAACTTGTTCTTGTCATATTTTATATAATTTTGACCATTGTACCATCTATCCAGCTCTCACCATGTTACTGGACGTTTCCCTCATCCTATACGTAAACAACAATTAGCAACATCCTCACATACTACTGTAAGTTGAGTCAATTTAAATTCATTTTACACTATTGTTGCTACTGTTATCATTGTAATTGCAGCTCCTGATGATGATGGCAAAGTCCATTGTAAGCTAGAGAGAATTAAAAAAAGTATAAAGAGTCCTCTTTGCTTAAATTTTGTCGAAGTACCCAACAAAAGGTGGAAGCTTTAATTTTTCACCTATGTATATATATACATATATATATATGATTTGCAAATATAGAAAACTACCACTATTTATATCTACAAAATTTCATAACTATACTTTAAAATGTGACTGGAAATTCGGAATAATATTGTTATGTTAATTTTTTAAACAGTCCCATTATTTGAAAAAAATGTGTAACTACCCCGTTATGTTTCCGCATTCTGGCGAAATCAGCGACTTAATTGTTAAATGACAAATAACAAATACTTGCAATGGTTCCATATGACGCTTGTTGCGGAATTCTATACAAATAAAAAGTAACGACCGTAATCATTTTGTGGTATGTACAATGAGCACTGCTGCGCTCATGTGGTCATTTAAATTGGACTTCATGTTCTTACGCAACTGTTACGGAGACAGAACATTCAAATATTAAAAAAAAAACCTCAAATTGTATGAATAAGTTGAGAATAATGTTGTATCTACTATTCTTCCCATACCACTATCGAGCAAAGTATTTTATTCGCGAAAAGCTTCGAAAATGAGATAATACGTTTTTGGGATGTCCGTCTGTCTGTCGGTCTGTCCGGCAATCCTCGACGTCGCTACAGCATGGAAAACGTGAAACGTAGGGTCTGATAATTAGGGGTTAGGGTTGTAGGGGGTGGAAGAGGCACTATAAACACTTTGGCGTTAATATATTTATACTCATATGTACATGAAGTATGGCCCCTGGCTCAAATATGTGAGGACTATGGACTAATTGTAATGGCCTGTTTGACTTGATTTTTTCGGCGAAGTTGTACCGAATGCATTCCTTTACGAACTAATAACAACGTTTCGTGTAGGTGCAGAGTCAACCCCGTTGACGCATTTTTTTTTGTAACAAGGGCGACAGGAACCACAGTTCTAGGACCAAATCTTCTCTACATTTCACAGGTGGGAGATATGACTGCTATGTTAACAACACCCACACGCATAGTCTTAAAAATATGCGGAAGCTGAGAAAGCCTCACTATTTTATAATACAGCTGTCCTAGCAATATGAGAACCCATGGTGAAAAAGCGTTAGCCTTCCATAAAGAAAAGAAAGTCATAACACATTGTACGCCACTGCTAGCGCGGCATCTCTTTGATTCGGCAAAGTCGGTTTGTGTGCATCCTGTCGTATTAAAAAACACGCCACATTAACAGTGGCGTACGATGTGTTTTGCGGCTCTTTTCCGTTTCAGTAACAGTCTATAATTATGGAAAACGGAAACCCGTTCTTCTATAAACCAGCCTCTAGCAACCGCTAAGGAGAATGTATAAAAAGTTCAATGGGGCCAAAGAGATCTTGGCCCTATAAAAAATAAATAATACGAAGTGTAGGGAAGCAATGAAACAATAGGGGTCATTATACCAATTAAAATTTCAAAAAAATTAATTACCTGCTACTCAATACAACGCTTTAACGTATCTTATGATGATGTCAAAACAACTAATATTTTCGCAACTGATAATTCAAAAAGAAATTACTAAATAATTAGTAAGTAATTTTTGTGTGCATGTTGGTTCGGTCTGATTTAAATTGCTATCCCCATAAGCGCTGAAACACATATAATTATAGTTACATTGTTGCGACACATTTCTAACAATTATTCAAGAATTTGATTGGCATCGAATTGCCGCACTTGACTTTCTTTTATTTTCATTTTTTATACGGTTCGTAATTTTACAGTGATTATGCTTGTACATATGTCAATCTTGGTATTGTACGGTAATATAAAATTATCTGGTTTCATTTTTATGACAAACTCTAAACGAAAGTGGTATATAAGCTAAACGAAACAGACAAACTGAAAATACTGTTCACAGAAGGATGATTAATTGCATGTTCTTCCAAAAGTCAAATCTCTTGACAGTTTAGGATCGGTAAATCTGAACGTGCCGAAACTTAGCAGAACTATATAGGCCAAGAAATAAAGAGGTTGTGTTAGGAAAACCTACAATTTGGGCGACAGCATTTTGGTGGTATCGTTAGATTATGGCTTCCTAAGGATTAGCGTCTTGATGAGGCTGGAGCATTTGCCGCAATTGTGATAAACGCGTTTAATCGAAAATCTTGAATATATACTCATTTACGCCAAAACAAATGCCAGTGCGTGTCTGTTGTACAGCATGCCGTAAATGCCTGGGCAGGCAGCGACAAGCAAATATGAGCGTCGATCGACTGCCCATGTTTGTTTTGGCAGGGATTAATGAGGTTTAGACATGATTTTACTTAATTTAAGCAAGGTTTGAATAGACTTTAATACGTATATCCTTCCTCGGATTGCTTGATGTATGGAACAAAAAGCTGCTGATAGGGCTGCTGTTCGAAAACAACAGGTTTAGACATGTGATAGGGACGGCGGAAGATTTCATGTATGCACTCTGCAGAAAATGTGACCCAAGGCCATACTTTATTAGTACGGGTTTTAGAACCTACATGTGTACAGGGTGTTTCCAAAACATGGTGCAACACATGAAAGGGTGTGGGCTAGTCTAAGACCATCTTGTTCTCTGAAGATTTTGGGAGTAATTCTTCATTTTAGAGATATAAGAACCTGAAAGGTGTGTTCATAACTACTACTACTACTACCTACTATTGAAATAACTGAAAATGCCTGTGTATTCTAGCAAAAATTTGACAATTATCACAAAATAGTGTTACGAGAAGCGATTAGCTCATTTAGATCGCCAGGGCCGGACTAGCTCTAACGCTATGTTACTAATTTTTAAAGCCCTGCATAACAATATCTCAAAAAAAGCATATTCCTGTTTAATTTCGCTAGACTGCGCCTTTTCTTAAAAGAAAATGACAGCTTCAGTTCTGTTTTACACCAATTCCTGTATATTGACTCCAGCACTTGGAAAATATACCAGTTTTGATAACAGACTGTTAATCAGCGATCCGGACCCCCCGGAATGTGCGTCTTTAGATAACTTTGCTAAGCTTCAAGCTTTGATCCACCTTTTGGAGGTCAGCTATGCAAATCAATAAGGATAGTTTTAAAACAAGACTGATTTTCTCAAAAACAGTTTCATATATCGAAATTGAACTCCTTTAGGGTCCTATTTCTTTAAAACGAAAGAAGACAAAATAGTCCGTAAAACCCTAGATCTCTCATTACTTATATCGTGACCGGCTAGGAAAAAATCGTTCTTAATGATTTCCTATAAAGCTTCTAAATTAATACCAATTAATTGACAAAAAAAAATAAGAATTCAGGTACTTACTGATGATATCCTCCTGGTACAGGGACTGCCGTTGCAAGAGCGAGCAGTGCTGCGAAGATAGCAACCTAAAAGCATGGAAATAGTCTTTAACATATCCATTTTCCAGAGAATATATATCAACTATGTGTCTCAGCTGTATGAATTACAAACTACTGACTTGTTTTTATTGAACTTTTTGGGTTGGTTTCAGTTGCAAAGGTATTTGAGTCATGAAATAATTTGTATATTGTGTATGTAATACACGAAAGTTATCGTGTAGTTTTCGTGTTGAAATGATTCCATGTTTTTTTGTCCGCCAAATGAATCCCCATATGCCTAAGATTTATTGTCGTTAATAAAATTGATATATCATGTAGCTTGAGCCTCTAGAACCTATCTATTCAAAAATTTGTCCAAATTAAGCTACTCTTTTACACTTCTATAAGCTATATGACCACTAACTCCATAACTGTTCAAAAACAAATTTCGGCCACATTCTCATTTTAGTTCCTTTTATTTTATTTTGTTATCTTTAAACTATGACGTGAAAACGAAGGTTAAGTTTAACATATCAATGTGTACGTTTGTCTGTGGCATTCTAGCTCTCGAACAGATGACCAGACTTGGATGAGTTTTTTTTTTATAAAAAATGTCTTATCTGTTGAGACAGTTCGTATCTATGTTTGACCAGAACGGATTTACACGTACGCAGGTTGAAACCAAAACACCGAAGCACCGCAACTGCTATAAGGAGATTAGAGACACCTTGTTAAAAAGTGTCAGCAAGAGATTTACCGGAAGGTCGAGGTTTCTTAATTTGTTTGAGAAATGACATGGTTAAAAACTACGGTGTCGCAGTCCTCAAGAAATATAGACAGTTTGAAAACATGTCACCCTCTATATTCGTCAAAAGGGAACATAAACAAAACGTTCCAACTCCAAACTTTTTTTGAGATACACAATAATTTTTTTATGAACTATAATATGAAAAAGATTAATAAATTTTGTATTTAGCATTCAAAAACATCGTTCTCACTCACAGAACTATCACTGACAGAGCAAGTGGTTTGACCGTTAAGAGAATTTCACATTATTTTCCACTTGTTCGCACTTCATAAAAAATGAATTTTTCACAATTGAGACATTTCTTCTCACCAATCGAATCACTTTTCAGCACCGGTACTTACGAAAAATTTCACGAACGCCATGCCTGCTTGTATGGTGGTAATCCGTAGTCCGGTAAGTCACACTCAAAATCAAATACAAAGCGCGATATGGCAAATCAGCATGACATAGTTTATATATAGATAAGGCAGTGTGCCATGCATGCCCCTCCTTTTCCATAGCCAACTCGCCGCACCGCACGCTCCACGTTACGTAAGGCCTTACCGACCCCGTGATTGATAGATACCGGTGCTGTCTGATTTTATATTATAGGGTTGGTACTAACAAAGAATATGTCTAAAGCAGACAAACCATTACAGGAAATGATTGAATAGTGATATTGATGACCATGTACAGTAGCTAGATTTGTTTATGTAATTTTTCAATTCCTGAAGTAAGGGAATAGTAGTACGTATTCCACAAGAGCATGAATGTCAAACATACGGCCCACTAAGCATTTTCCTGTGGCTCAGAGGGATTATTAAATTAATAAATATGAAAATAGTGTTTACAAAAATTTTTTCAAATTAGCAAAAGTTATACCGCTTCCAAAAACAGAACAATCCGGCGATCCATCAAATTTCAGACCAATTTCTATTATTCCATAGAACTTTTTGAATACTTTGAAGGGAATGATTTATTTTCAAATACTCAGTTTAGATACCGTTCAGGCACTTCTACAATACTGGCAATTAATGACTATTGAGTTTATTAACCACCCCTCTGGAGCAGGGCCTGTATAGTTTAGCATGCCTGTATGACCTGACTAAGGGTTTTGACTGTATCCAGCATTCAATATTGTTAAAAAAAACTGTCCTATACGTCTCTTGTGAGAATAGCTTATCGACAACTTCCTGCTGGACAAATAGACGATAATACGTTAGCTATTACAACTGTACATCCAAGACATAAGTCATCAAGCATTGAGTACCACAAGGAACAGTTTTAGGGCCTATTCTCTCTTTAATATATATAAATGCCCTACCGAACAGCATCCCGAAGATCGAAATTGACAGATTCACACTTGGCATTTTTAAAAGTTAGTTATGCCAATAACCTCACCCTACAAAGAACCAACTTAATTGAAAAAATCTCAACTGAATAAAGAAGTTAATGAGTGTGTTTTTTGTAATATCCTTTTTATGGAAAAAGAGGGAGCACAAACCTTTTCGGAAATATTGCTCAAAGTTCGGGAATAATCTCTCCAGGGCATTCTGATCAAAAGTTCTCCTGGGCTCTAGACAATCCAATGAAGCGTTTTCATGATATACAGGGTGTCGCAACCATGCGAGAACAAAGTATTATTCTTAAGTAAAACCTCATCAAAGAAAACTACTTTTGGGTTATTATACATGGTATCAGAGGGCACATTTCTAAAATACTCACAATTACATGTCCCAATTTTGCCCCACAATTTTTTTAATGGAAAACTGTACTTTTTATTACATCTTCGGATAGGCCCTTCTAATAGAAGAAGATTTATATATCCTACTTATAGGTTTTGGTCTTTGAACTTGAGTCATTAATTTTCAGATAATAATTGTAGAAGGAAGATAAACCAAAATATGTGTGTAAAAATAAAAAAAGAATTAAAAAAAAAATTTTACCTTGTTTTATAAAGTATCCTCCCGACAAGTATTTCAGTGCGGACCTGTATTTGATCGTGAGGTCTTGGAGCACCGGCATGCCGTCGCCTGTGAGGTCTTAAGTCACCTGATTCACGAGCCCGTTGTACTACATTAACAAAGGCACGAGGGGTTCGTTGCACTCGATTGGGAAACCGATCCGCATAAACATGTGCCATTTTTTAATTCGTTTGAGCCACGCAACAGACACCACTATTCACTCACGCGTTACCGACTGACACTGGCTGTATACAACGGAATAAAATAATTGTAAAAACATCGTTCCAATTTCTTTCGCTTTTTTGTTTCCGATGCGATGAACCGATAAGGCGGATTATATGCGGTGTTGCCAAACACGAGCACATAATATTATGATTGAGACAGGGCGGTACTCAAACTTCCAAAGGGCTATAACTTTGTTACTTTAATTTTACCAGAAAAATGGTAAAGGAAAAAACATTTCTTTTGATCAGATCTACTCACTGTTAAAATAAATGACTCAACTTCGAAGTATATTAGACTATTGGGTATTTTATCTAAAAACACCTCAGTTTGACAACGTGCATATCAGCTGCCTTGACAGTTTGCATTGTTGTAGGCATATAGGTTAATATATTGATGAAAGAGAAACTTTGTAAGAATTTCGTAGATTTGACCACGACTCTCAAGGTGATGTCAGGGTTGAGTCATTTCTGAGATACTCCTTTTTTAATTACGGAAATAAAAAGAGGGACATTCTACTATATTGACGTATAATAGTACCTTTTTCGTTAAGATTTCAGTAGCCTTGTCGTCTTTAAGATTAGGCTTCGGGTTAACCTAGAAAACGGTCTTCATCCTTGTCGATTTGCTGGAAAAACCATCACCTTGAGCGCGTTCCATTGTACATTATTTTGATTGAAATAATGCAAGATGACATTCAAAAATATAATCTGCCGATTTTCATACACAAAAGTAGCAAAATCGCGTATACTAAGTGACATATAAATCAGAAACCCAGTTTAAATGGTTTTATTTTAATAAAAGTTGGTGAATGTATTTATCTTACTGTAAATAACAAGTGAAAAAATTTTCAGCCTTATCAGTTGGACATTCCGGTTTTTATACTGCTTTTTTTTAATTCACTAACGCTCTAAAAATGAATATTTCAGCCTCAGTAAAGAATCAACGTTGGCGGATTTTGGTTCTTGACATCCTTTACGATCGGTTACGATGCCTAGAGTACGGAGACCTGTACGATTTCGTCAACTTAGTGAGTTTGATAGGGGCCGTATAGTGGGACTTCGGGAAGCTGGACTTTCTTTTCGGGCAATTGCAGTTAGAGTGCAAAGAAGTGTAGACACTGTGGTTAGGTGTTGTCAGGCATGGCTTCGAGAAGGCCGTACGCAAAGAGCAAGGGGCACTGGACGCCGCCGTAGAACAACAGACCGCGAAGATCGCCGCCTAAGATTATTGGCCTTAAGGGACCGTTTCTCCACTACCAGGTCCATTGCAAATGAATGGTTTGCAGAACACGGAAGACCTATTGGCATGCGAAGTGTTTACCGACGAATGAGAAGTTTTTTCTTGTTTTCATACCGGCCACACTGGGTCCTCCCTTTAACTCGAGAACACCGACGTAATCGCCTTGAGTGGTGCAGACAACGGTCACTCTGGGATCAGGAATGGAACAGTATTGTCTTTAGTGACGAGTCTCGATTTTGTTTAGGCATGCACGATGGTCGTGCCAGGGTTAGAAGGCGACGTGGTGAAAGGAGGAATCCACAGTTTTTTGTTGAAAGACATGTTTATCACACTGTTTTAGTTATGGTTTGGGGTGCTATAGCTTATGGTTCCAGGTCACCTTTAATCTTCATCAGAGGTAACATGAACGCGCAGCGTTATATCCACGAAGTTCTAGAACCCCATCTTTTACCCTATCTTGACACCCTGGCAGATCCAACTTTCCAACAAGATAATGCCCTACCACATGTTGCAAGAGTCACAATAAACTTCTTTCAACATAATGATGTCACATTGTTACCATGGCCACCAAGATCTCCCGACTTATCCAAAATTGAGCACGTGTGGGATATGATGGGTAGGAGATTGCTCAATTTGCAACGTCCTCCTCAGACTCTAGAAGCACTTCGAGAGGAGTTGGTGGTTGCCTGGAATGAGATACGAGTACCACAGGATGACATTGACCACCTGATCAGAAGCATGCCTAGGCGCGTTGGAGAATGCGTAGCACATCAGGGTGCATCCACACATTATTAAAGGTCAAAGGGCTTTAAAGCAGTGCAATCATTTTGAAATTTTTATCATTTACTTATTATGCTTCATTAAGTACTTATACAAAATTTTATTAAAATAAAACCATTTAAACTGGGTGTTCGGATTTATATGTCACTTAGTATATTTCCCTGTCAGCACTTCTCTTTCTCAACTAATTGAAATTAAAATTATACAAATACATCTGAAATAAAAGATATCGGAAACGGAGGAGATCCAACGATTTACAAGGAAATACAAAGGAATATGAGAGGAGGGGGCTTTTTGTTCCAATAGAGTATCAGTGGTTAGCCTATTGAGTCCGTAGGACTTTAACTCTTAGATCAGTCAGAGAGAAAGTGTAATCTGTGAGGACCGCAAGCAGGAACTAGCTGTTATTTTTGAAATAGAGGAAAGAGGAACGAAGAAGGGCAAAGGATATTTTTTATTATTTATTGGCATTTGGACGGAGCAAAGGAGAACACGGTGATTACTTGGAAACGAAGACGTTTAAATATTGCTAATATTATTCTGTCTAATTTTAGTTTGGTCTGTTTTATGTGAAGATCAGCAGCTCAAGCAACATAAGGGTTTGCTGTTTACTTTTTTTTTAGGCTAGCCAACTTCAAGACCACGCTTTAATTGGATAGAGGCTGTAGATACGTCAAGAATCAAGACGTCCGTATCAGACTCAGAAAAACTCCGAATGATGTAAATATACAGCTAGGTTTGATAACTTCATGACCGTCTTGTATGGGTTCTTACAGACCACTGCTGATTTGAATGAAGATATGTTATGGTAGTAGTAAAAGATATTATGTGCCATTTATCAAAGCTTCAGGGCTGAAAGTTTGGTTGGGAAGAAGCCTATTCTCAAATTCACTGGATATGACCTTCATCAAATGATTTAACGTGGAATCTCCCCTTAGTTAGCTGTGTTGGTGTATGGAGAGAGCTGCTGACACAAACTAATGCTTCTGAGACGCTGTTCCTCAACTTTTTCAGAGGTACATTTCGGCATCTTATCTCTACTACCCGCTTGGAGTACTCTCACAATTCTGGATGCTCTTTCATCCACCGTACAGTGTCCATACTAGATGCTGTTCAAAGGCGAGGAGAAATATTTGATCCCACAATAGGTATTATTTTTTCCTTGCTGATAATGCACCGGATATTTTAATTTACACAGTTTTTTTTTCAGTAATAATCGTACAAGGCAG